CTTAACATGCTTATTAATATTTTCAAAAAAATACACTATGAATGCCACAGTTTATCCAACACATAAAAGACAACCAAATCTCCAACCCTTCTAAAACTAGGCTAAAATATGCACTTGTTCTCGGGCTGCAACAACTACACAGGGAGCTATCGATTTTAGTACTCAAAAAGCATAGTAGACATAACAAAGATGTGTTTTTCCAAGTATACAAGGCATGGTCCTATTTAACACCCAACTCCAGAAAGGCAATTGATTCCCAAAAGTTGTAAAATCTTGTACCTTTTCATTATAAAACATTATTAAAAATTAGTTTTTTTACCAATCTAGAAGTTTTTTTACCAATAACTAAAACCAAAGCACTCCACTACCACTGATAATAAAATATCAGTGGGTGGGTTTGTGCTCTTCCATGAACCATCGAGACGAGCTAAGTTTGTTAAACTAATTCTAAGTGGGTTGGTGGTCTCAAAACTGCATGCCAAATCTTTAAGATTATTCTACAGGGGCAACTAGAAATAGAATAAGGAGAACAAAAGGCAAAAAAGAAAACTTACCCATGTACTGTAATCGATCAGCGATCAGAGGGAGAGAGAGAGCTAAGTGCAGCAATCAGCTCAATGAGAGACAAAGAGCTCAGCTAAGTTAGGGGTCTGTGTCCCTGCTGTGTGTGTTTGTGTGTGAGAGAGAGAAGGAGAGGCGTTGATAGAGGAAGAGCCAAAGAGGAGAGTTAGGGCAGGGCCTTAGGGCTTCAACTGAGAGTTTATATATATATAACGGGTATAACGGGGACGGGGCGGGGGTAAGGGTACGTCCATCCCCGCCTTCATCCCCGCACGGGTTTATACAGGTATCCCCGTATACGTCTACCATCCAATACGTATGGACCATCCCCTGTCCAAATGACGCGGGTTTGGACGAATACCTGTTTTTCTTCAGTTCATTGCCATCCCTAGTGTTAACTCTTGTTAATGGGTCTTCTTCACAAGTTTCAAGTTTGGGTAGTGTGCAACATAGTTCTTCTTTTTCGTTGTCTTCAATTTCCCTTTAGCCTATTATTTATTAGTCAAATTGCTCATTCTCTTAACTGTTCAGTAACTTTTTATCCATCTAATTGTCTTTTAGGATCTCAAGACGAAGAGGAAGATTGGTAAGGGGTATGAATCTGGTGGCCTCTATTACTTTGACTTTGAGCCCCTCCTTGAGCCTTCCCCACTTCATTATCTCCTCTTCAGTGGCATTGTCGTCTTGGACACCCATCTCTTCCAGTTTTGAAGTCTCAAGTTTCTAGTTTAAGTAGTTTGTCATCTTTGTCTTATGAAGCATGAAACTTAGTAAGCACCATCGTGTACTTTTTAAATCTAGGTTTGATAATCGTGTTTCTAGTCTTTTTGAGTTAGTTCATTATCATGTATGTGATCCCCCTGGAGAGTCATCTATTAATGAATTTCGTTATTTTGTTACATTTGTTGATTATCACTCTCGTATGACATGGTCGTTCTTAATGAATGTCGCTCTAAATTTTTTTCCATCTTTTAGTTGTTTCGTAAGCAAATTAAGACCCAATTTGGTTGCAACGTTCATATTTTACGGTCTGACAATGCTAAAGAATATATGTCTGATTCCTTTCAAGCTTACTTTCAATAGAAAGGCATTATCCATAAGAAATCATGTGTTCATACACCCCAACAAAATGGTGTGGCTGAGCACAACCATCGTTATTTACTGGATGTCACTCATGCTCTCTTGTTCCATATTCTGGTTCCTAATCACTTCTGGGGTGATGCTGTTTTAACTGCATGTTATCTAATTAACTGATTACGCTCTATTGTCTTACATGGGTCTTCTCCTCATTCTGTATTGTTTCCTCAGTCTTCATTGTTCTCTATTACTGCCAAAGTGTTTGGTTGTGTTTATTCTGTTCACAATCTTGGTCCGGGCTTTGGTTAATTAGATCCCCGCGCTACTAAGTGTATCTTTTTGGGTCACTCTCGCACCCAAGAGGTTAGTGTTGTTATAGCCCTATTCTTCGTCGCTACTTTACTTGTGTTGACGTTACCTTTTGGGAATCTATACGCTATTTCTCTGCCCCACTTGTTCCACTTACTTGTGTCCCTTATCAGGTGTTCTTCCTTTGCCCGATCCTATTCCGATGATCTTATATCTCGTGTCCGTCTCTCCTCTTGTTCCCTCTCTTACCCCCTTACTGGTTTACTCTCGTTGATTGAGGCTACCAATACCAAATTCTGTTCCGCCACCAGTTTCTTCATTATCTTTGGATCCGACTACCGTACCCTCCGACATGTTACCGATTGCTCTTCGTAAAGGTATTCGTTCTTGTGTTACTCATCATCCTATTGGTAACTTTGTTTCTTCTCGTTACCTATATCCTTTATTCTCTTGTTTTACCACCCAATTGTCTAATATGTCTGTCCCTAAGACTATTTATGTAGCCTTATCTGATTCTCGTTGGCGGCAAGCTATGGAAGAAGGGATGCAAGCACTTTATGACAATCATACTTGGAATCTTGTTTTGTTACCTACTGGTAAGCTGGTTGTTGGTTGCCGCTGGGTCTACACTATTAAATTTCATCCAGATGGTTCTGTGGATCTTTTCAAGGCTCGTATGTAGGGGTGTCAAACGTGTCGGGTTAAATGGGTGACGGGTGAAAAATATATAAACCTGTACACGACACATTTAATAAATGGGGTAAAAAATTTCAACACGAACACGGCCTATTTAATAAACGGGTAACACGACACGACTCGTTTAACTCGTTTAAAAACAGAAAAAAAAAAAAAATTATGTTAACAAATTTTTACACTCCATTTATTTGTTTCCAGCTGTACTTTCCCCAATTAGAAGAGTTCCAACCAATAGCCCACACGAAAGCCACACCACAAAAGTTAACTAAAATGAGAAGGCTCACTATCTTTTTTATAGGCAACTAAAATTTCTACTCTCTACTCCTATATCGATGTGGGACTAAAGAAAAGGCAACATTGCTGCTGCTGTAGGTCCAACAAGGCTGTTAAGGAGGAAAGGGATTCTTTTCTTTTCTTTCTTTCTGTTTAGCTGGTTTTGTATAGGCAGCTGGGTTTGGGTGGCTATAGAGGTAATGCTATTGGGCATTTTGAAGGATTTAAGCCAATAAATGTAAAAAAATTTTTCCTTATTTTGATTCTTGTAATTCTTTAATTCATAGATGTAAAAATGACATTGTCCTAAAAAAAAAGGCTTTTTCTTTACTGATTCATTATTATATATATATATATATATATATATATATATATATATAGTAATTTATTGTTATATTAAATTTATTTAAACGGGTATACGGATAATAAACAGGTTGACAGGTCTCACCCGAACACGACCTGTTTATTAAACGTGTCAGGCGGGTTAACCCATTTAAGTCTCATCCAAACCCGCTTAATTCGTGTCGGTTAATCTTGTTGTGTCAAATTTTGACAGGCCTACTTGTCTAGTTGCAAAGGACTACACTCAGACCTATGGTGTTGACTATGCAGAAACTTTTTCTCCCGTGGCTAAAATCTCTTCTATCTGGGTTCTGATATCTCTTACTTCTCACCTTGATTCTCCCTTATTTCAATTGAATGTGAAAAATACATTCTTACATGGTGATTTAGTGGAAGAGGTTTATATGGAGCAACCACCTGCGTTGGTCGCTCAAGGGGAGTATCAGAGGACTGTGTGCAAGTTACAGAAAGCATCGTATGGGCTAAAACAATCTCCATGAGCATGGTTTGGAAAGTTCTCAGATGCAGTGTTGGACTTTGGTCTTCATTGATTTTAGATAAATCATTGTGTGTTTTACTTACTAATGTAGGCAATATCCTCCTTGTTGTTTATGTAAATGATATTGTGATAACGGGTGATGACTCAGTTGGTGTTGGTAAGTTGAAACAATTTCTGCAACACCGGTTTCACACAAAAGATCTAGGCAAACTTCATTATTTCCTTGGTATCGAAGTCGCTAGATCAAAACAAGGATTAACTTATCCCAAAGAAAATATGAGCTTGATCTTTTGAAGGAAACAGGTTTTTAATTGTGGTCGACCGATTGATGTTCCTCTGGATCCAAACCATAAACTCTCAGTGGATGAAAGTGACTGTTTCTTAGTTCCCGGAAGATGTCGTCGACTAGTTGAAAAACTAAATTATCTTACCATTACCCGACCAGATATATCATATGTAGTGAGTGTAGTAAGTCAATTTATGGAAGTTCTTTGAGGATCACATTGGTATATAGTTATCCATATTGTCAGATACCTCAAATGAGCTCTCGGACTTGGATTGTTGTATAAATCTAATGGACATCTTAGATTGGAAGGATTCACGGATGCTAATTGGGCAAGTTCCTCCTCAGATAGACGATCTATTACAAATTATTGTCCCTTCTTGGGAGGTAATTTGATTATAAGGAAGAGTAAGAAGCAAACAATGGTGGCAATGTCTAGTGAAGAAGTTGAATACAGAGCAATGACTCAAACAAGTAGTGAGTTAACATGGATGAAACACTTTCTTGAGGAAATTGGTTTCTCGGTCAAGACTCTGATTGAGTTATTTTGTGATAATCCAGTTGTTGTCCATATTGCTTCTAATCCTGTGTTTCATGAGCATACAAAGTATATTAAAGTTGATTGTCATTTCGTTCAAGAGAAAGTGTTGCATAGAGACATTGTCACACCCTTTGTCAAATCTGAGGATCAATTTGTTGATATGTTTACTAAGTCGTTGAGTAGTACTCGATTGAGAAATATTTGTTCCAAGCTGAGATTATATAATATATATTCACCAGTTTGAGGGGGAGTGTTAGAATATATAGTAAAATTTATGTAATAAGTATATCCCAAGAGAGATATAGTAGTCTTTAGTCATATTGAGATACATACATACATGAGTTGAAAGGGAAGGTCGGTCAACTTCTTCCAACTCTCTCTCTCTCTATCTATCTATCTACGTTTACAATTTGAAAGTACTAATATCGTCAATTCAATTGAGGAAGATCACACAAGATAGGAAAAGGATCCCTATAGATTCTTGATACAATAAGGAAGGCTTCCAATACTGCACATTTACTATGGCCACATGAGTTTTGTCTAACCAATAAGACAAATATTGTTCAAGTCTTACTGTTGGCAAACTTGTTACGATCCTGTTAAATACCTGGATTACTGTGACCTTCAAGGTCCAATGTACCTACTCAAAAAATTATTTCACTAGAAAATAGGAAAGAAAGGTGAAGAGACAATTTCCAACTTTATCTCTCTTACTCCTTTCTCAGTTCCAATTGTGTATATCCTTGAGTCTTTCACCTACACTATCACAAATTATAATGCGCCAAATATATTCACGTGCACGTACAATCATGAGAGCAAAAAATGCAATCAATGCAGTTGATAGTACCTAGTCTCCTCCAAAGACCTTCTCAATTGGGTAATTTCAAGTCGCAGGTTCTTCATTATCCGCTCCACTGTTGAGGCCTAACAACATCATAACAGAAATCAACTGTATGGTTATTTACGTGTAGAGAGAGAACTGTATTAACTCTGGTGGCATATTGACTGATAAATTCTACTTGAATCTAATTGTGCATCAGAATAGGGCAATTTGTCCAGATATATTCAGATTTGTACAACGTAGGAATGCATAAAACGTTTAAAAGTTCTGGTAAAAACAAATTATGATCTCAATACATAACTACATAAGGGTTTTACAAAGTGGTAATGGAGTAATTTGATATATAGAGGCTTTGTGTATGTGCACAGACGTGTCCGTATGCCATAAGTGGGACTATTTAGAAAACTTGCTTTACAAGTGCATAAGATCCATAACTAGCAAAATATGCTACAATAAGGTTACAAAATTCTATATATTAACCTTTTCATTGCATGCGAGTACTATTTGTTCACCAACAAATAAAGTCCTGTTTAACAAATCAAATTCTGTATTTTTCCTATGATATGGAGGTAGATGATTTGATTTCTAATAAACGTTTCTTATTAGCAGAACGTCCCTGTCCCTGTTCATTAAAGAGTTTGTTACTTTCTCACTTCCAAACCACTCTGCAATATTGGTAATCCAAACCTTGATTGTGTGTCTGAGCTTCCTCCCAACATAACATATTATTATTTTTACTAAAAGCACAACTGATTGACATAGCACAAGGCATTAATATAAACTACTGAACTACTTTGAGCTTATGATTAAAAAAATACTATTCCATGATTTGGGATGTAAAGAAAGAGAAGAAGATTAATACCAGACTAACAACCTCCTCTTCACATTCGCTTCCATCTGGTTTACCACCCATATCATCAACCGAATTATCCGATGACGGTTCATTAGCTCCAGCCCCCATCATGAATCCAAATCCAACTCTCTGCAACCCTCTTTCCGCAATCTGCAAAATCGCCACTTTCTTCTGTTCATTGTTCCCTTTAAGTTTATTCAAACTCTTCTCCACCGCCTCTTTTTCCACCAAAGCAATCCTAAGCAAACTATTGATGTCTCGATTCTCCTCCGTTAAACTCACCACACTATTATCCAATTCCCTTTTCTCCTTCTTCCACGTCTCCTGATACTCACTCAACTTCAACTCAACCGCACTCACTAGCTTCGAAATCCCCTTTAGTTCCACCAAGAAAGCCCCAAATTCATCATTTAATTCCAATTCATCTCTCAATTCTTCATTTTCTTTGCTGTCCTTTCCTACTTTTTCTTCATCCAGCTTCTCAATTACCCCAACCAAACACTCCCTGACTGATTTTACGACCTCGAAGTTCTCAGAAAAAACCCTAATATTTTCATTTTTCTCCTCCAATAACTCGTTAATTCTCTCCGTGGAAACTTCAAGCTCACTCCTAATTCCTTCTTTCTCTCTCAATAGCTCCCCTTCACGCTCCCTCGAAGAGACCTCAAGTTCATGAAGCTCATCGCGAAGAGAGTCTCTTTGGCTCGAGACCAATTCTATATCCTTTGAAATATCAATATTGTGCTTCAGAGCTTCATCTTTTTGCTGTTGGAGTACAATCAAACTTTCCTCTTTCTCCGTCAATTTTGAGTGAAGAATCTGATTCGATTCGCGAAGAGCTTCGACCTCGGCGAGAAGAGATTCATTTCTTATCTCCAATGCGCGAAGATCATCAGACAGTTCGTAAACATTTACGGTTGAATCTTCGCCGTTGATTTGATCATCCAACGAGGTTTCGAGAGAGTCCATGATGTGTAGAGAATTGTGGGTTCAAAAAATTTCATGTTCGATAACGGCGAGAGAGGAAGGCTGGTCAGAAGAAACTCTCAACAACCAGTCAATTTGGACATAAATAATTTATTAAATGAATAAAAATCGTAAAAAAATGAACACATCCCATATATTTGGCGTATTACTCAAAACAATTCGCGTAACTCGCTGAATAAATGGATTATTTTGGGCAGGGCTGACGATCCGGACACGACTCGTAAAATTGACACGAATTTGACATAGATTTAATGAATTTAGGTATAATTTTAATGAGTTCAAGTGATTAACGGGTTAACTCGACAAATTTATAAAATAAACGAATCGATTTCATGTTTAACTCATAAACTCATTTTAACCCGTTTAACCAATTAAGAGTGGTACAATAAATTTTTAAAAAATAAGTTAAGTCTCTCAGCCTTTGTCTCATCTCACACCTCTGATCTCTCAGAATTAGTCAAATTTAGTAGTCATTTAATATTTATTTTTTTGTTCAGTTATGATTTATTGTTATAGTAAATAGGTCAAATATGTGTAATGTACGGTGAGTTAATGATTTTTCATGTAGACTTGAAATTATCTAATTTATTCTCTTATTTAACGGGTGACACATGGATAATATCGGGTAACTCATCTAATAAATAATTCGTGTATGAGTGTGATAATTAAACTCATTTATATAATCAAATAGGGTATAGACGGAGGATTTTTTTGACACAAATTCGTTCCACCTGACACAAAATCTTTTCACTCGATACGATTGTCGGGCCTAATTTTGAGTCACTTCATATTCGCATGATAACTTTTTGACCCGTTTTATCATAATTACAAAACTATTTGACCCCGTTTACCACACACAAAAAATTTGTACACATCAAATTCAAACATCTTACATATCCGTCAAAAATCAAATTTCACCAAAGCAAAAACAACCCACAAAATCATGCTCTCCAAATTCAACACCAAATTCCCATGTATGCTTATTTAAAATTTTAATTCTTATGTAGGTTGAACTGCTAATGGGTTGAGCAGACAATGAAATATGTGCTTTTAAAAGCAAAATGCAACATGTTCTATTCTTAATTCCTATGTATGTCTATTTAAAATTTAAACGAGTAAACAGGTGATAAATAAATTGATATATTTTACTTGAACAACAACTCGAATAATAAACAGGCTAATTTTTTTTATCACCGAACACAGACTCGTTAATTTCGTGTCGAGTAATCAGATCATATTACATTTTGTCATGCCTAATTTACAAATAACACCAGGCTGACCAAAAATAGGTTAGAAAACATGGATTAAATGATATATCATTCCTAATAATTGGAAGAAAAAAAAAAGGCACATGCTTAGAATGGCTCCAGCTCATCACTTTCCCAATCCTCGAGCTCGATAAAATCCTGACTTGTAAGAACTTTAATTAGTTCAACTCAACTACTACCTCTATTTGGCCAATAAGACTGGATTAAACGTATAGGGTGCAATTGTCCAAGTTCAAATAGGTGGAGAAGATTTGCTAACAGCCTAACAAAATGCCCTGTAAGAGAGGAGTCCATGAAGATGAGTGAGGTAACTGAATCTAACATCAACAATAGCTTTCTCTGCCTTTTCAATTCTCCCTTTCTTAGCCTTAGAGAGGTGAACCGTCGAACCCTTCCGGCCTTTGACCTGTTCTTGCCGGTGTCTATAAAGTGATCGAGACACAAATCTAATTGACTAAGACATCTAAAGTTTGATGGGTATGTTTTGTCATCACCAATTACTATAATGATGTTGTTATTTTTATTTTTATACATTTAAAATTTGAATTTGTCCCACTATGATAATGACAAATTATTTTATACTTTTTTAAGAGATTGAATCGGCATTTTGATACATTTTATCTTGGTCACATGAATCCGACCCCATTTAATCCATTTAGGCTTGTTAAAATGCGCCTTGACATGTTTAATCGACATTGAGTTAAGTAAGTTTAAATAAGGTTTTAACGAGTGTGGATAATAAACAGGTGGACCAGTTAGACCCGTTTAAATATAAATGAATTGTGTTCGGGTGAGATATGTCAATCCATTTACTCGTTTAAATAAAATTAATACAATAATAAATTAATATTTATTCAAAAAATTTGTTAAGTCAAAATAATATATAAGGTTTAATAATTAGATTAGATAAAAAAACTTAATAATTATTTTTTAATTATAATAAATTAAAAAATTATTAATCGAGCTAAATGAATCGTATCGAATAATCGATTTAATAAACGAATTATATTTGATTTGTAAATTTCCACCCATTTAATTAAAATTTTCACACGAACTCGATTAAATCTGACACAATTGGCATACCTAGTTCCATTAGAGTGGACTGAACATTGTAAATCTCATTATTTTATGGCCCCAAACCGTACACAAAAGTATATTGGATTTGCTTACACTACTCCAAACTAAAACAAGTGGTCAACCATAGAAGTACGAGGCAAATAACAAGACAAATAAAGGAGAAAAAAGTAATTACCATGTACTTCAATAGATGTGATCCCAATGTTAGAAAAATCTGGGTTGTGAATGGCCTTTCACATTGGGTCCTCAAGTTGCGTTAGGTTGATATCCTGCCCTGACCAAACCTCTTGACTTGGAGTTTTGAACCCTTTACTTTTCTTGCTTTTTTTCACTTGCTTGTTTGGCTTGTCGGTCACTTACTTGTACTTAAAGCAACCTTCTCATCCTCTAGCGACCAATAATCCATCGCACTCAAGGCCAAGCTGTTATTATTTTATCTCATCTTATATAATGTGACATAATTTTTATTATTAAATATTAATAAAATCTATTTATTGATGATAAAAAATTAAACCACATCAATTGAGATAAAAATTTAGTAAACATAACTTTACCCTTAATATTGACAAGGATTATCAAGACTTCTTTCCTTTAGTCATTATTGATACATGATGTCATCATTGATGTAAATCATAATACAACTTCAAGGGATTTAGTTCAAATTCTAATTGGGCCAGTTACGAGAGCATGAGCAAGAAACTTTAAAGAGGTACTCAATGGATTGATTCAAGAGGCATGAAATCAAGTAAGTTCGTGGAGGCCCATTAACAAGGATCCACTTGGACAATAAAGATTCATCAACATGATTCAAATTCTAGAAAAATCCAGCTAAGGGATAAGGCTTAGCTTAAATTAGCCTATTGTTATTAATGCCTCCAATTTGTTAAAAGGATTATTATTATAAGTGGGCTTGAGGATCCTTAGCTCACATGTTTTATATCTTTATGAAGTAGGGTATTCGTAGTTACTGTGGCGCCGCACTGTTCACGCTACAGTAACAGCACACTATTCACTCTTTTTATGGTCTAACTGTAAAGTTTGTATGTCAAGTACTGTGGAAATCCGTTTGATAAGTCGCTGGTGAACGCCACAAAAAATCCCGATAAGTTCGTTTAGTTCTTCAAATAACTGTAGAAATAATATTCTCACAATTTGCTGAATAATAATCTATCTTTTTGTTGATTTGAATGCCTATTTATAGGCTGGTCATTATAAGGATTAAAAAACTTCCTAAAGTAGTTATTCTATTTAAGAAATATCTCTTACTTGTTGGTAAAGAAATATCTCTTATTTTCTTAAGACTCTTGAAGAAAAAGAAAGACATTCAGCCTTTTAATTGGCTGATCACTGATACTGTAGCGTGAACAGTGCAACGCTATAGTAACTACGAAAACCCTACTTCATAAGAAATAAAACATGTAGGCTAAGCATCCTCAAGCCCACTTATAATAATAATCTTTTTAACAAATTGGAGGCATTAACTAGAAGTTTCCTAATCCTTGTAATGACCAGCCAATAAATAGGCATTCAAATCAATGAAAAGACAGATTATCATTCGGCAAATTGTGAGAGTATTATTCTCTACGGTTCTTTGAAGAACTAAACGAACTTATCGAGATTTTCCGTGGCGTTCACTAACGACTTATTAAACGGGTTTTCACACCGTTTGTGGCATCTTCCTTTATACTGAGGTTCTTGTTTCACAAACAGAGGGTTGAGCTCTATATACCAACGTTCTTGTTTGTCGTAAACAACGGGTCGAGGTCTAGCATCAAATCTGATCGTGCAACGATCTTGGGTTTCTTTTTGTTGTTCGTTCTCGTTATTCTTGGCGGATTTCACATCAACCATTCAATAATAAACCTAAAAATAAATAAGATGAGCCTCACTTAGAATCACATGATAAAGTGATTATTAGAATATGTGGGATACACCTACTAATTTATTATGTTTTTATTGAATGATGACACTACGTAACAATGATGATGTGATATCACCCAATATTTTTTTCACCTGTTACACTGTGTCAACATTGTTGATATGTATTATATGCCTCACTTTCTATCATGGAGGTTGTTATGTATTATATAGTTGAGTGATTAGGAATTTTAATGGGACTCATTTGTTGACTTGTTTACTTATTAATAGACAATTATATTACGTGACATATTTCACGAATCTTGAAATTTACCAATCACCTCAAAATATATATATATATATAATATCGTAGTAACAACGAATCTCATTAGTAAACAGATCCTCAGTTTAGGTTAGTTTACATCCCACGAGCAATATAAGTGATTAGAGATAATTCGTATCTGAAGGCATGGTGTAACATAAATGATTTTGAGAATGATGCTGATAGCTGTTGAATAAGTTTATTTGAGACTGTCAAATAAATTTATTGAAATCTATCATATTTTATATTATAGATTTAAAAATCCCAATGACTGATTTGGTAGTGTGAGATTGAACTTGGAGTGAAATGTGAATTCAATGGCATTGAGCTCGATTCTCAATAATACTTCTCAAATTCAATCAATATTTAAAATTAACGAGTGATTTCAAATATTTTGTATTTCATTTTGTAATTGTGAATCTAATGTGACCTTATTTTGAAGAAGTTATCACTAAAAAAAATATTCGTGACTTGAGATAATCAATTGTTTGTAGGATACGGTGTAACTTGTAAATTTTTGGGGTAATACACTATCTCGGATGGAAAATCAATTGTTATATCTTAAAATTCTTAGGGTTCAATATGAAAANGAGATTTTCCGTGGCGTTCACTAACGACTTATTAAACGGGTTTTCACACCGTTTGTGGCATCTTCCTTTATACTGAGGTTCTTGTTTCACAAACAGAGGGTTGAGCTCTATATACCAACGTTCTTGTTTGTCGTAAACAACGGGTCGAGGTCTAGCATCAAATCTGATCGTGCAACGATCTTGGGTTTCTTTTTGTTGTTCGTTCTCGTTATTCTTGGCGGATTTCACATCAACCATTCAATAATAAACCTAAAAATAAATAAGATGAGCCTCACTTAGAATCACATGATAAAGTGATTATTAGAATATGTGGGATACACCTACTAATTTATTATGTTTTTATTGAATGATGACACTACGTAACAATGATGATGTGATATCACCCAATATTTTTTTCACCTGTTACACTGTGTCAACATTGTTGATATGTATTATATGCCTCACTTTCTATCATGGAGGTTGTTATGTATTATATAGTTGAGTGATTAGGAATTTTAATGGGACTCATTTGTTGACTTGTTTACTTATTAATAGACAATTATATTACGTGACATATTTCACGAATCTTGAAATTTACCAATCACCTCAAAATATATATATATATATAATATCGTAGTAACAACGAATCTCATTAGTAAACAGATCCTCAGTTTAGGTTAGTTTACATCCCACGAGCAATATAAGTGATTAGAGATAATTCGTATCTGAAGGCATGGTGTAACATAAATGATTTTGAGAATGATGCTGATAGCTGTTGAATAAGTTTATTTGAGACTGTCAAATAAATTTATTGAAATCTATCATATTTTATATTATAGATTTAAAAATCCCAATGACTGATTTGGTAGTGTGAGATTGAACTTGGAGTGAAATGTGAATTCAATGGCATTGAGCTCGATTCTCAATAATACTTCTCAAATTCAATCAATATTTAAAATTAACGAGTGATTTCAAATATTTTGTATTTCATTTTGTAATTGTGAATCTAATGTGACCTTATTTTGAAGAAGTTATCACTAAAAAAAATATTCGTGACTTGAGATAATCAATTGTTTGTAGGATACGGTGTAACTTGTAAATTTTTGGGGTAATACACTATCTCGGATGGAAAATCAATTGTTATATCTTAAAATTCTTAGGGTTCAATATGAAAAGTTAATTTGTTAGAGAGTGAAATATTGGGCAAAAATATCATTTGAGGCTTGCATGTTAATGGATTAGATTTTGATTTAAACCTGAACTCTACTAGTCGGATACAATTTGATATTTTTAACACATATCTGAATTCGAATTCAAAATATTATATTTCACAAATTTGAATTTAGATATGCCTATTCTTGATCCGAATTATAATATTTTTATGTAAATATTAAATAAATTAAGTAATTATTTAAAGAATTTTTGTTAAAATCTAAATAAAATTTGTTAAAATTTAGTTAAATTAAACTATTTAGATCATATCAAATTTATAAATTTCGAATCGTTAACAAGTTCGGATATAGACCACGTAAATAAAATTTCAGATTATCAGATCTGATTCAAATGAGACTTCTAAGTCGGATTTGAATTCAGATCGGTTAAAATCTAATTCAACTCCGATCCCAGCCTATTTGAGGGAGTAAACTGAAAATACTTCAAAATTTTTAGGGCAAAATACAATTTACCTAGGAATCAAGAAATGGGAAAGCAAGTATAACGAAGAAAAATTTGGACAAGAAGTGGAAGTAACGGAAAGAGAGAGAGCGATGGTACATATTTTGTTCTCTCCTTTTTGTTATTTTCCAACTTTTTCATGGCAAGCTGACAACTTTCAAAAAGTGGAGAACCCCCCCTTGCCATTCTGTCAACACAATTTGGTTGATGAAGCCTTCAAAGTTATATTGCAATTACATGGTTATTGAATAATCTTTACGGGTATATATGAACTAAAAAAAAAAAGAAGAAAATATATGAACTGGGAAGACTAAAGGTTCTTGAGATTTTCGTGGGTTAGAGGTGATGGGGAGTGAGGGAGAGATTGAGAGTGAATGGTTGTGCGATGTGGATGATACGATATTTGTGGCTGTGGGAAAAAATGTGAAGGAGAGTAAATCGATTCTGTTGTGGGTTGCGAAGAGTTTTTCTGGGAGGAAGTTATGTCTTCTTCATATTCATCAGCCTGATCACTTAATCACACTCGGTAAGTCTCTTGGTTTCAGTAGATACTTCTCTTACTTTGCTTATATTACACACTCCAGCAAGTTGGATGTAGTGATTGATTGCTTTTCCTTGATTTTGTAAATTTTGATTGATTATGGCCGTTTGGATGTGTCTATTTCTGTGAATTTGTAGGGAATTCTCTTGTTCAAAATCAATATTTGATTGTTGTTAATTTGTATGGGATTTTAATATCTGTAATTTGGCCGAATCTGTTTTTGCGTGAAACTTTCTTTGCCATAGTTTGAACAAAAGTCAGTAAGTCTATGACTTGAATGGCTACGTCTCCGACTATGCCTCTATTGCAAACTTCACTAAGTTGGATGTTTAATTGCTTTTCCTTAATTTGTTAAATTCTTGATTGGTTATGGCCAATTGGGTTTGTCTGTTTCTTTGAATTTGTTAGGAATTCTACTGTTCACAATCCATATTTTATTGTTCTCAATTTTTATGGGATTGTTATATCTGTAATTTGGCCTAATTTGGGTGAAACTTTCTTTGCCATTACTGATGGAACAAATAGAGTTAGACACAACATTATCTAAGGTGTTCATTCCATTTATTTTCTACTCTTTACATATTAGCCAACAAGTCAAAAGCAAAGAGTGAGTGGAGAATGGACAAGAAGCCGATAATACAACAACCTCACTGCCATTCTGAGTTTGTGGGCATGGATATGTGGTAAATAGATCATAGTGAATGATAATGGAATATAAAGCACAAACATGTCATATTGGAAACCCTACGAGTCTGGTTGAATTCGGTGAAGAAAAGACCTTCGGCATGATAATAGTAGAGTAGTCGATCTGATCTCGTGCGCGGGCGGATAGAAATAAATGCCCATAGATGAGGTAGGCGAGGGTAGTTTGTCAGCAAAGGGCGTGTATGGTAGTCTTTTGTTTGATGAAAACGGAAAAAGGAATTGATTGCGATATTTTTCGGCCATTGGGTGGGGGCAACTGGTAAAAAGAACTAAATTTTAAAAAGTGGAAGCAGTTTGTAAGTGAGAATTTGATGTTTAAGTGAGCAGGTTTCCAAGTTTATTTTCTTTTGCCGTCTATTGCTTTTGAATTGAAAAGTAGATATAGGTGTTAAAGGAAATAGCATGTGCAGATATTTGTGGACATTTTTTTTGGACTGTCAATTTTGGCTTCTATGAAGTGGAATGTTTAATGAGTGTCATTCTTTGTTTATCTGTCTTATGCTGACAACTATAATTGGAGGGCTCTAGTCATGCATTTTAAGTTTGAGTACTTGTGCTTATTTTCATTTGATATTTACAGTGAGTGAAAAGCTTTCAGCCGGCAAGCTGAAACAATGGGCAGTTAAGGCTTGCCAAGAACTTGAACAGCAAAAAGTGCACAAACTGTTGAATCAATACCTTCTCATTCTGGCACGACTAGGGGTATTGTCTCCTCTCATTCTCTTTTAGGATATGTTGTTTTTGTGTTGCTGAAGCATGCTGCATCATCATTTGACTGTGTTAAAAAACTTATATTTGTTTTTCAGGTTATGAAATATGAATTACTCAACAACTTATATTAGCTTTTTGTAATTGGCAGTCGAAATAAACTTCAGAATTTGTGGACTGTTAACAGTATTAGGGTATTATGTGTAAACTGTTAAGAGTATTATGGTATTATGTGTAAATAAAAGAGGGTGTATTTGTCTTTCTGATTATTGTAAGTTAACTATAAATACAAATGATGTATGAGAGGTAGGTTAAGTTTTGACCCCTCTCTTTCTCTCTAATATTGTCTCTATTATTGTGTTACTTTTTTCAACTTAACATGGTATCAGAGCAAAAACAGTACAAATATTAACTCTTTTGTTTCGCGGTTGTGTGACTATTGTCGTTGTGACTACTGTCGGAGTTCGACTGGTGGTGGTGTTGGTGGCCTTGTGCTGTTCATCGTGGACTTGTCTGGTGGTGGTGGTAGTCGACTGGTGTGGTCGACGTTGGTGGCTTCAAGATTTGCTTCGTGGTGGCTGTTGGTATCTGGTTTTGGTGGTGGCTTTTGGTTCTACTTCGGTGGTGTAGTCGATTGGTTGTTCTTGGTGTCGTCGACCGGTATTAAGTTGGTGTGGCTGCTGTTTGTAGGTTGTTCATCGCCGTCGACGTTGAAGGAGCATTAGGGTTTGTTGATGAAGAAGACGACCCACTCGAACTGGGTCGGTTGCGAATTTGGGTAACATATCCAAATCCAGATCCAACCTAGCCTAGATTCAGATCCAGATCTAAGTCAAGAACCAGGTCCAGATCCAGATCCAAACCCATAACCAGGAAACTTAGCTCAGATTCAGTAGCCTCAGACCAAACTGGTTCAAGTCCGGTTCAATCCTGGGTCAGTGAGTTTACACCGGTTCAGTCCTGGTTCAGTTAGTTTTAGGCCAGTTCAGACCGGTTCCATTTGTTTTGTCTCCGGTTCAGAGGTCCAGTGGACTTCTCTGGTTCGGTTCAGCACTCCAGTTAGGTTCTCCAGCCCGATTTGGTGATCCAGCAACCTTCTCTTCTTCGGTTCAGCAATGTAGCAGGTGATTCTTGTCCAGTTCAGTGATCTAGTGATTTTCTTTTTCTATTTGCTGCACTGTTATGGAACCCAAGCAAGATGCTAACTCCCTTGCTCCATCTTTGCCACCTTCCTCTTCTTCTCCGATTCTTGTTAATGGTCCCATGATCTTCGTTAAACTCAATAGGACCAATTATACTTTATGGTTCCACTTTGTTCAAATCTTCTTTCGAGACAAAGGTTTTAAGAAATATTTGGTTAATTCTAAACTCAAGGAAGACACTTCTGGGTATGATTAGTGGGAACAAGAGGACGCTCAGATTATTTCCTTGTTGTTAAATAGTATTGAGCCTAATATTAGCTCTACTCTGCTCTATCTAGACACTGTCAAAGAGATATATGATTACTTGACCACTATGTATTCTGGTATAAGTAATTTTACCCGTGCTTATGAGGTGTAGAAGGAGTACTTCTAGCTAGAGCTGGGTACTCTGAGTCTTAAGGATTATTACTCTCTTGTTCGGGGAGTCTGTGAGGAGATGAAGACCTACCATCCGTTTACTATTAATACAATAGTTTGGTAGAAACAACAAGAGGATCTGAATGTTATTAAATTTTTGGTGGGATTGAAACCTGAATATGAGGTTATTCGTTCTCAGATTTTGGGTAATTCTAGTCTTCCCTCACTGCTTGAGGTTTTCTCTCGTTTACAGCGTACTATTTTGTCTACTCCTTTAGGCATTGATCATAGTGTCTCAACTGATCGCTCAGCTCTTGTGATTCTTAGTAGCCACAGTGATGGTCATCGAGGTGGACGTGGGGGTCGAGGAGGTCGTACGGGTGGTCGTAGTGGACCCCGTTCCTGTACTCACTATGGTCATAGAGGGCACATTGTTGATTTATGTTGGGATTTACATGAAAAACCTTCTGGTGCTGCTAATCAGACTTTCTATCAGGATGACACCTCGGTTGTTGTTTCCATACTTCGGTCAGCTCCACCAGACACTGGGTTGGTTACTATTACACGAGAGGAGTATGCTCAGTTCTTGTCCCAACAACAGGTTGTTCCATCTCCTTCCGTTGGTACTTTTGTCTAGTTAGGTACTGTTTTCACTTGTTTATTGTCCTCCACTCGCAGTCCTTGGATCATAGACTCTGACACTTCTGTTCACATGATTAGTGCGTCTGGTGTTTTTTCTACTTATCAGCCTGCTACTTCCACACATAGTGTTATTCTTGTTAATGGTACTTATTCTAAAGTTTCAGATTTGGGGATTACTCACTCAAGTCCTGATATGTCCCTATGCTCTGTGTCATTTGTTCTCAGTTTTCTTTTAGTTTAATTTTTATTAGCAAGATTACCCGTTCTTTCAATTGTTTTGTATCCTTTTATCCTTCTTATTGTGTATTTCAGGATCTTAAGACGAAGAAGAAGATTGGTACGAGACATGAAACTGGTGGCCTATATTACTTTGATTTTGATTTACTTACTCGGGCTCTACAAACCTCATTTTATCTTTTTCAATGACATTGACGTCTTAGACATCTCTCTCTCCAAAATCTAAAGTGTCAAGTTTTCAGTCTTAGTTATGTGTCGTCTTTGTCTTGTGAAGCTTGTTAACTTAGTAAGCATCACCGTATGTCCTTTCAGTCTAGAGTCAATAATCGTGTGTCTAGTCCATTTGAGTTGGTATATTCTGATGTATGGGGTCCAATAAAGAATATTTCATCTAATAAATATTCTTATTTTGTATCATTTATGGATGATTATTCTCGTGTGACCTAGTTATTTCTGATGAACGCTTGTTCTGAATTATGCTCTATATTTGAGATCTGTCGCAAAGAAATAAAAACTCAGTATGATTGTCGTATATGTATTTTACGTTATGATAATACTTGAAAATATGAATCTGATCATTTTTCAGCTTATCTTAGTAAAACTGACATTATTCATTAGACTTCCGGTGCTTACACCTCTCTATAGAATGGTGTTGCTGAACGTAAGAACTGTCATTTGTTGGAAGTCACCCGTGCCCTGTTATTCCAGATGAATATTTTCTAATATTTTTGGAGTGATGTTTTTTCTACTTGTCGTCTTATTAATCGTATACCATCCTCTGTGTTAAATGGGCAAAACTCATATTTTGTCCTTTTTTTTGGTAAACCCTTATTTTTTCTAACTCCTAAAATTTTTGGATGTGTCTGTTATGTTCACAATCTGGGTTCTGGGTTTGATAAACTTGACCCTCAAGCTACCAAATGTGTATTTCTTGGATACTCTTGCACATAGAAGAGTATCGTTGCTACAGTCCTTTTTTGCGACGATACTTTACTAGTGCCGATGTCACGTTTGAGGAATCTGTTTTATATTTTTTGGCACCTGCTCAGCCTTTAGATCTGGACTTTAGGTCATCTCTTATATCACCATCTCTTCTTTTATTTGCAGATATTTCACTGCCTACTGTGTTACCATTTACTTTACCTCTTTGTGTATAATCTCATCGTCCTAGCCCATCGACTGAGGTGCTCGTACCGTCCTCCTTGCCCTGCTTTCTGATCTGTGTATATCAGGTAATTTAGAGTCTTTACCAATTGCTCTTTAAAAAGGTTCTCGTTTGTGTGTTACTAATCATTCCATTGCTCATTTTATTTTATATGATGCCTTGTCTCCTGTCTTCTCTTATTTTACCTCTTAATTATCTGCCATATCTATTTCTAAGCACTTACAGGACGCGTTATCTGATTCGGGTTGGCGGAAAGCTATGGAGGAGGAAATGGATGTCTTACACCATAATGGGACTTGAAATCTCGTTTTTTTACCTCCTGGTAAATGAACTATTGGTTGTCGTTGGGTATATACTGTTAAATTTCATTCAGATGGTTCTGTAGAGCGTCTCAAAGCTCGGCTTGTTGCAAAGGGCTTTACTCAGACATATGGTGTTGATTATGAGGAGATCTTCTCTCATGTTGCCAAAATTTTATCTGATCGTATCTTAATTTTTTTGGCTGCTAATCTTGATTGACCCTTGTTTCAGTTAGATGTCAAGAATGCCTTTCTACATAGAGACTTGGTTGAAGAGGTATACATAGAGCAATCTCCTGGGTTTATTGCTCAGGGGGAGTACGGTAAGAGTGTATGCCAGTTAAAGAAATCTTTGTATGGCTTGAAACAGTCATTGAGAGCATGGTTTGGTTAGTTTTCAAATGCAGTTTTACAGTTTAGTCTTCTTCAATTTCAGACAGACCATTCTGTGTTTCATAGACAAATGAATGCTGGATATGTTCTATTGGTAGTCTATGTAGATGATATTGTGATTACTGGAAATGATTTTGAGGGGATTGCCAAGTTATAAATCTTCTTGCAAGATTGATTTCATACTAAGGATTTGAGAAAACTCGAGTATTTCTTGGGTATTAAGGTGGATCAATCTAAACAGGGTATTTGTTTATCCTAGAGGAAATATGTACTTGACATGTTAGAGGAAGTAGGTTTGTTGGGTGGCAAATCAATTGATATTCCTATGGATTTGAATCAAAAACTATTGACGGATGATGGTGCACTGTTTGAAAATTTGGGTCACTATTGCAGATTGGTTGGGAAGCTCAATTCTCTCACTATTACTCGCCCGGATATTTCCTATGGAGTCAGTATAATAAGTCAGTTTATGGGGTGTTCTAGAGTATCACATTGGGAGGCAGTCATTCGTGTTCTGCGATATCTAAAATGTGCTCCTAACCTCGGATTATTATATCGAGCAAATGGATATCTTCGAGTGGAAGGTTTCTTAGATGCTGATTGGGCTGACTCTCCTTTTGATCAGAGATCAACCTCTAGTTATTGTACTTTTTTAGGAGATAACATTGTCTCATGAAAAAGTAAGAAAAAATCCGTGATAGCACGATTCAGTGCTAAAGCTGAGTATACGGTAATGGCGTATACAACGAGTGAGTTGAATTGGTTACTACACTTCCTCCAGGAAATTGGATTTTCGGTTCAACTTACTTTATAGTTGTTATGTGACAATCAAATAGTTATCCATATTGCTGCCAATCCAGTGTTTTACGAGAGAACCAAACATATTGAGGTAGATTGTCACTTTATTTGAGACAAGATAGTAGCTGGGGAGATTAGGACTCCATTTGTGATATCTGAAGATCAGCTTGCGGATATATTTACCAAAGTATTGAGTCGTACATGTCTTATAACAATTTGTTCCAAGCTTGGATTATATGATATATATAGTCCAGCTTGAGCGGGAGTGTTAAGAGTATTAGGGTATTATGTGTAAATATAAGAGGGTGTATTTGTCTTTCTGATTATTGTTAGTTAACTATAAATACAAGTGATGCATGAGAGGTTGGTTAAGTTTTGACCTCTCTCTTTCTCTCTAATATTGTCTCTACTATTGTGTTACTTTTCTCAACTTAACATGAACCTTCAAAAGATTGATCATTGGGTACATCTGCAGGTACAGGCAGGGAAAGTGTGGTTTGAAATGGATAATGTTGAGAAAGGGGTTGTTCAAATTATTGGTCGGCATGGTATTAGATGGCTTGTCATGGGAGCTGCAGCTGAGAAACACTACTCGAAGTATGGAGCATCGGTTGCAGTTACTCGGTTTTTTTTACCATTGTGATGTTACTGGCTTTACATGAGGATGACAATATTGTTTTATGTCTAAACAAGACAAAGACAGTTATTGAGGTGCTGTTAAGAAGTCTTCTAAATGATGTCCTATTGGACAATCACACGTGCCACCAGGATAAATGAGTTAGTTAAAGGGGCATTAGGAGCTTGGTTGTTTAATGGACTAGTTTAAGATGTTAAACTGTGGATCAATTATATCGGTGGTAATTAGATATACACTATGCAATTCCCTCATTAGAATTAGGCTACTGTTGTCCTTAGTCGGAAAATAAAGGGTTAGTTTGAATGTTGTCGTCTGTGTCACAATTTTAAATAATGAGGCAGTAGTACAGGGTAAAGGAGGAAAACTTGCATTTTTGTCTTTTCTCGGTTTTATGTTCTATTTTCCAATTTGAACTCATCATGATCGCAGGAATATGTCAGAGCTTAAGTCCAATAAAGCAATGTTTGTGTGCCAACATGCACCAGCTTCCTGTCAAATTTGGTTTTCTTGCAATGGATGCCTCATCTGTACAAGGTATGTGGATTGTCTGAGTCTCTCTCTCTTTATGGTGACTGTAACTTGCAATATATGTTTGGTTTAGACATCATGAAACAAATGATATAGCCTCCAATAGATTTGAATGTTCAACAAGGATTTTTGTGGGTGTAGTTGGGAGTACGCTGTCCATTATTATCATCACTATTGTTCATCATTTTATAAATTAGATACCTTGTCAATTACATGAACTTCTCTTCACAATATGCATGTATCTCCTTGTGTGTGTTCACAAATAAAAAAAAAAAAATTCTTAATTTTACTTCCTACTGTTTATTATTCAATTTACAACCCATAGGCAAATGTATTTTCATTAATTAGGCTGATTTCTGGTCCATGGTCCAGTAAATTAGCATCCCTTTGCTTGGATTTTCAGGACCAGTGAGCTACACTTATACTATCCAAGAAACTGATAGGCTCATAGTCGGTCCATCAAGACCATTGTAGAAACAGTCAAGCCTATAGCTGGAACTAGAGTGTATTTTCATTAGTGAAATAAAAATATTAGCGTGGAACTATGAGGGAACCACATGTATGCAGTGATGCACTATTTGTACTGCAATGCACAGATGCACATCCAACCCTTCCTTGAGTAGGTTTCATTACTTGCTTACATCTAGTACCAGATAACATTTTAAGGTGCCAATGAATCTCAACAAAACAATTGAAAGGTTAGAATACTTGCTGCCACAATTTGTTGAAGATAGCAAGAGATTTCGGCTAAGATTTACTAACACAGATCACGTTTCCCTTTACTGACTTAGGTCTGTCAACGTTGGCTCTGATGTGGGGAGCGTCATGCCAGTGTCTTTTCCAACAGATAACAGAGAAACAACATCTATACAGAATCATGCAGCAGATGCAGATGAAGATGCCTACACTTTCCAGTGTTTGGAGCGTTCAACTAGTTTGACAGATAGTGTAGTTTGTACTTTTAAATCAACTCCAATGCTGATGGATGATATCAGAGGGGATGGCTCACCTTTAGCCTCACCACGCAAGTCCTGCAGTATTCTGTCTCAGTCATCATCAATCATTTTGATGGTACGCATAAATTTTTTACAAAAGCAAATTGTGGAGATTTTAAGACTTTAATGTTGATATTTATACTTGTTAAGAACTTGAGTCTATGTGAATTAGCAAGTTGACAAGAACTCCTTGTTTCAAAATGAGTGGAAGCAGAGTCGAAGCCTAGAATTTAGTTTTGGATGGGCATTTTAACCTTGAGCTTTAATTAACTTTTCCTGGTTGTAAAAAATACATGACTTGATATTTACGTAGAGGTCAATCACATAATACTAAAGAGCAGTTATATCCAAATTGCAAGAAGTTTCACGCGAAACTAAGAATAAAAACAAAATAAATTACTATAAATGTGCAGATCCATGTCAATTGCAGAAATCTCTAACACAATAAAAAATGGTAACCATGTATTACAGACCAATCACAACTTATATTATCAAAAAATACTATTTGACCACAACAATAAACTAAAAAAGGAAAAAAATTAGAGTTACAAGGCCTGCAAGGTATGGAAAAAATCATGGTTGTGTTTGCTTACTCATCAGACCTCATATAAGATAATACACAACTCGTCAGAGGGCCACACAGTCGGCGGTCACGTCTTCTCCCTTAATTTCTGTCTGACTCTCTCGGTCCTTCTATTTCATCTTTTGAGAATACCTATTAAGATTGTCATGTATGAAGTTTTTAAATTCAATTTTTTTGTTAGTTTATGATGTTAATTTTTTTAATGACTTAGAAAATGATTTTGAATTTTATTACAAGATGGTTATATGGTTTATGTAATCCAAAAATGATCCTGTAATTTATTATAGTGATCCTAACTTCTTATACAAAAACAAAGTGACTCAGTTTTTTTTTTTTTTTAAAATAGGAACCGGCCTTCAATGTGTTCAAACTTATTGGAATGTGCCTAAAGCGCGTTCGTTACATATTATAGCCATTCAAGTATGGGTCTACATGAAAATGCTAAAGTGGGCACTTGAAAATGTACAATATATTTATAGTATTGCATGTATAATTTTTTGAAAAGAAATAAAGAGTGGGCCAGGGATCCCCAGCCCCAATGTAGCTCTGCCTATGGTGGAAGAAACAGTTCTCTATCTGTGGGAAATCATGTCTGCCTAAGACTCTTCATATGTTTGGATTACCTCCTGTCATTCATCAAAGCCTTTTAATTTAATTTGTTTGGATTGTTGACAGTAGTTCTACATCTATAAATTAAAAGAGTTAGTGCACAATGGTTTATGCACAATTCCAGGACAAAAAATCTCAAGGAGAAGCAACTTGTGGCATGGATGATAGATTAGAACATGCTATGCTAGATGCTGAACAATTGAAGCAGAAACCATTTGAAGAGTCAGTGAGGCGATGGAAGGCTGAAGAAGATGCCATGGAGGCTGTACGCAAGGTAAACTTTATCTTTCTTGACTCACTCTTCTTTTTTTTTTTTCTCTCCTTTTCTTTAACATTTTCTGGTTTCTCTTGCTATGGTGTGTTGATTATAAAAACAATCTTCAAAAAATATGCTTCTCTCTAAAAGTACTGACCTTTGATAAACCAGAACCGATACGCCTTGAGGCTGTAGATAATTAGTGTGCCCACTACACCCCATGCAGTTTAATTCGCCCCAAAACAAATGGACTCGCATGTCTCATGTTGGATGTCATCTTTCTGAGCATATGACTTAAGCTTTGACCTTATCGTCAAGTGTTAATATAGAGTTCCATAATATGGTTCCATTTTTCTTAGTATATTAATCTCCAGCAAATCAAACATTCTGAATTGTTTGGCATTTTCTAAAATGAAATATTTTAAAATGGAATGATGGAAAAAGAAATTAAAAGACTACCATCCTAGTTTAATGTACAAAGCATGAGTATCTCTGAACTTGTATCAGATATTGTAGAACTGTCCCTAAATTTCTTTCATAACTTGCCTGTTATTGTACTTTTGCAGGCTGAAGCATCAGAAAATTCATGCATGAACGAGATAAAGCAAAGAAAAGAATTGGAGGAAATGCTAGCAACACAAAGGCAAGAATTAGAAAGGATGAAGAATCAGCATAATCAATGTATGAAAGAACTCCACTTGGTTCGGGAACAGAAGCCAGAGCTACAGAGACAATTTACAGAATCTCGCCGTGCGGAGGAGGAGTTAGAGGAGAAGATCATCCAAGCTGTGGAACTCTTGATCACTTTTAAGGAAAAACGGGATAAATTGCGGACTGAGCATGACAGTGCAATTAAAGAACTTAATAGGATGAGAACATTGATGAAAAATGATGCTATGAGCTTATGTTGGCCACAGGTCTTTGCATTCACTTTCCTGGAAATCATGGAGGCTACTCAAAATTTTGACCCATCCTGTAAGATTGGAGAAGGAAGACATGGGAGTGTCTATAAAGGGATCCTTCGCAATAGGAAGTTAGCTATAAAGATGTTGCCCTCTCTTGGTTCTCAAGGCAATTTGGAATTTGAAAATGAGGTAAATCTCTACCTTAAATCCTGACAATAGTGAAACTGTATTCGAATGCATGGCAATCACTAATCAGAACCTTATGTTCAGCTAATGGGTTTAGGTATGACCATATGAGCTAATCAACAACTCTTGCCTTTGGAAAGAAACTAGTTACTCTTTGGGTCGAAGTACCCATAGGCCATAGCTAAAAGTTTTGGGTCACTGATTGCTGATTAGGCTGCATGGTTTTGGATCACATGCAGAATGGTGACCTGATAAACAGTGATGCCTATTGCTGTTGCTTTGACATGTCTTATCTGCCTGCTTATTTGACTACCACACAGGATCCTATGTGCATCTTCGATAAATATTCAGTTATAGTCCTAGATTGGGTGGTTTTTAGGTATCTTTAAAATCTTTTTATATATCATGTATCCTGCCTGAGAAATTATGTGGTTCGTAAGCCAGTGAGTCTTAAATTACAGCATCTAGGCTTCAAGGAAGTTTTCAAGTGTGAAATGGTTGGAGATGTTTCCTTCCAGCATGGTACCTGACTGGTTGTTTATTGTGTCTAAAATAATTCAAGTTTTTAAGATTTTTTAGGCCCAGAAATAAGATTTTCAGGATTTTTTTATTCGCTTGGAGAGGTTTGTAATTGTGATGATACTAGTCCAACATGGAATCAATCCTTGGTAGTTTGTGTTTCCTTGACATAACCATTGTTTCTTTGACCGTGATCCACTCTTTTGTTTTAATACAGGCAGGGGTTTTAAGTAGGGTGAGGCACCCAAACCTTGTCACACTGATCGGAACCTGTCCAGAGTCTAGGTCACTTATTTATGAGTACCTCGAAAATGGCAACCTTGAAGATCGCCTTGCTCTCCGGGAAAGAACTCCCCCTCTTCCATGGCAAACTAGAATAAAGATTGCTATTGAGATATGCTCTGCTCTTATCTTCCTCCATTCCAACAACCCTGCTATACTCCATGGGAATCTAAAACCGACCCAGGTCCTCTTTGATGCCAACTTCGTCAGCAAAGTTAGCGGCTTGGGCATCCATAGTTTGATTCCCCATGCTGAAAATACAATTAAAGCTACCACATTAGTTCTTGAGGTTGACCCGGAGGTTTCTGTCTATATGGATCCGGAATTTCTCGAGACTGGAGAGCTTACTGCAGAATCTGATGTTTACTCGTATGGAATTATACTGTTACGGCTTCTGACTGGGAGACCAGCCACCGGGGTAGTAAGGGATGTTAAATGCGCCGTAGAAAGTGGGAACTTAAGCACAGTTTTGGACTTTTCTGCTGGGGATTGGCCACTGGAGCAAGCACAACAGTTGGCTTTCTTGGGGTTGGGGTGCTGTGAGGAGCGGCCTTTGTATCGTCCAGATCTTGTCTCAGACATTTGGACTGTGATTGAGCTAATGAGAGATTTATGCACTATGCTGAGTCATTCAAGTCCTGTTTCAAAGGCACATCGCCGAAGAATTCCCTCCCATTTTGTCTGCCCTATTTTGCAGGTAAAAATCATGGACACTATCAATATATTTTGCATCACAATTTCTCAGATTTCTTTATGCACTTCCATCTATTGTTTCGGAGTTTGGTTAATATTGCTGTGAGAACCCCTAGTATCTGATCACCAGTCACAACCCGATGCACAGTCCTTAATGAAGAGATGCGCCTGTAAAATTTGCACAAAATAGCAAAAAAAATCAAAAAAAAACCACATCCTGCGGCCTTGTACATTGAAATTATTTGATTGCTCTTCTTGCACTTTTTTTTGTGTGCTGTTGTTGGTGGTCGGACTGCCCTTGGGAGGTTAACAAGAGGAAGTCGCAATGTTTTAGGGAATGCTTGCATCACTTGGAGCATTGAAGTGCTTTGTATGTGAAGTTGTGAACGTTTTCATATTTTTGTTTGAACAATCTTCTTATGATCATTCCCATCCAATTTTTTTTTGTTCCTGGAATTTGCAGGAAGTTATGGATGATCCATACATTGCGTCCGATGGCTTTACTTATGAAGCAGATGCAATAAGAGGATGGCTGAACAGTGGGCACAAAACTTCACCCATGACAAACCTTGAGCTTGACCACTGTGATCTACTCCCTAATTATGCCCTCTACAATGCAATTCAAGAGTGGCGCCAACAGTTCTGAGATATCTTCATGTTTGGATTTACAAGTAACAGAACAATGCATCAACCCACAACTACAAGCAAAATGTGATGACATACTCTCTTTTTCGAAATTGTGCAATGACTAATATGTCCTCCATCAAAATTTGTAATGTATAGAAATATTAGCGTCCGACCTCAGTGCGATGCACGGCCATCCCTTTCTTCTCTCAATCCCCTTCTTCACCATTTACTTTTTATAACCCATTATTTTGTAATATTGTGAGTATTATTGGATTATAAATTTTGATATTTTTTAAAAAATTAACAAGTAGTGATTAGAGGGAGTTTAGGGGTGGCTATTTAGGGTAGTTATTGGAGGCAGTCGGTAGAATGTAACTGGAGGATGAAAAATTTAATAATTTAAAATTCTTAAAAATTAGAAAAGTGGGAGGAAAGGCATCCTAAGCCATCTCTCTAGAAAAACGATTGTTTTATATATATAAGACTAATGGGCACTCAGTGTGATGCACAAAATTTATTATCTCTTTTTATTATTATTATCTCAGAAGACAATTTTTATCGGTGTTAAAATGATATTCATTTATATTTTAAATAATTAAGAAAGATGATTGAAAGTTTAAATTTTGAAGTAGTTTAAAAAAAATGGTAGGAGTGGATACAAAGAACATATGTAATGTTTTAATTGGAGTGAACTAATTAAATATTTTAAACTTCTAGTAAATTAGCATTTAGAGAGGAAAGTCTTCTTAAGGTCTCTCTTCCTTAATTTGATTGTTTTATAGTATAGTAAGATATATTCCTAGAAAATGAAAAAATTTAATAATTTAAAATTCTTAAAAATTAGAAAAGTGAGAGGGAAGGCTTCCCAAGCCCTCTCCCTAGAAAATTGTATATATATATATATATATATATAGATTGATTATTAATTGAAGTGGCAAATACAAATCTGTCAAATGGTCTGTGAATTTGCTACAAATGGATCACCTACTTCAATTAGTGATCAAAGATCACAAGAAAATGATGTTAGAAAATCGTAATGATTACTAGATGTTTAGTGAGAGTTGAATAGACACACTAATTTAGCAATCTAGTTAATTTGCTGTAAAAAAATCTGAATATATACAGGATTTTTGATACCATATTTTGGATCATATTCTCATTTATGCTCTACATTCGAAAGGAAATATTCTCCAATATAATTTTTACTCTATTTCATTTAAAATATATCACATATCATGAATTTAAATACAATCAATTATTTTTAAGTTAGTTTTTTGTTTATAGATAAGAGATGAACTATTATTAAATAAAATAAGATCCACTAATTTTTTGTCATCCATATATAACAGATGATCTATCACTGAAGTTGAGTGTAAGAATACAGAAAGATCACAATATGAAATAACCTACTATATCGAAAATTACAATGTTTTAAGTTCAAATTATAATTTTTTGGGGTGTGAGTTGATCAAACACAAAGTATTATGATCAATGATAAAAATTATAATTTTTAAACATCAAATTATTATTTTTAACGTTTAAGTTACATTATATTAAGGAAAAGTTATAATTGATTGAAATATTTCATAATCCATCACAACATTTAATAATTAATTATGAATTATTTTCGGCAGGTATAACTTTAACTTTAAAAAGATATAATTTAGTATTTAAAGTTACAAATCTAATCATTCTTTATTATTGAGTTGACAATAACCCTTTTTTACTGTTGGTTAGAATTTGTTACCAAATAAAATTAATAAATGAAATTCAAATAATATTTTTCACTTAACAATTAATCTTGCTGTGTCTGAACACAAGCCAAGTGAGTAGCTTGAGACATTTTGACAAAAACTGCAAAACAAGATCAAATGGCAGTCACCAAGCCACACGTAATCCCACGGTCAGCTCAACTGGGAATTGAGTTCAATTATAGTTTGAATTTGGTAATTATTTGAGAATAGGTTACGAGAGATTTAGGTTAGATTTAGTTTGTATTTTAAAAAATAATATTAAATTTTTTTTTTTTGGAAAGAGTTTTAAAAATTATTTTAAAATTTTTTTCTATTATAAAACTTGTTTAATTATATATATAGTTTTAAAAATATTTCTACAAAATAAAAAATGGTGAAACTTATTTAAATAATAACTAAAAAAAAAGAGTCACCAAGCCACCTAACTCCAAAGTCGTAACATTCGCCATGAACTACTCTCTGGTTGCCATTTGTACCCCCACTTCACCTTAACCTCCTCATCTTCCCTCTCTCCTCAAACTTCTCTTGTCACATCTCCTTTCTGAATCTCTCTCCTCTTTTTTATCCTCAGAACACCCAAAAATGAAAATCAAAGCAAAAATTCTTTCTAGTCCACGAACTATGCAAGAACAGTCCCAACCCAAGTTCGTAATTAGTCTTTCTATCTGAACATTTAGAACATAGAACGATCAAATCTCTGAGAAAACCCAAAAATGTCAGGTGGGGTTGGTCCATCCAGTGACATTCGTCTTCCTAAAGAAGAACAACATGAACCAGAAAACTACAAGACAGTCCCAAAGAACAACCAAAAACCTCATACCCACAAGAGTATCATCACTTTCCGGCAACTTAACGTACTCGCCGTGATCATCGTCCTCGCCGCCAGCGGCATGGTAAGCGTCGAAGACTTCGCTTTCGTAATCTTTTCTTTGATTTACATCTACTTTGTATCAAAGGTTGCATTCCCATCTCGCTCTTTGTCTGCGGATCCTCCGGTTTTCGGCGCAAACAACAAGATTCTGAGGCTTTACGTGTTGGTCGGAGCAATTGTCGGACTCTACCTACCCATAGCTTACATTTTTCAAGGAATTTTCGAAGGCGACAAAGAGGGTATCAAAGCAGCTGCACCACATGTTTTCCTGTTATCCGGTCAGATTTTCATGGAAGGTGTGACATTTTCCGGCAAATTTTCACTTCCGATTAGGGTTTTTGTGCCGGTGTTCTACAATTCAAGGAGGATATTTACAATTATGGAGTGGTGGAGGAGTGAGATTTTAAAGGTGGATCAAGAGTATGGTGGGAGTGCATGGAGATTGTATATTGGAAGAGCTCTTGCTGTGGCTAATTTGATCTTTTGGTGCTTCAATTTGTTTGGATTTTTGTTGCCTGTTTATCTTCCCAAAGCTTTCAAGATTTACTATTCTGGGTCCAGGGTTAAAGATTGAGAAGAAACCTTCAGAATTTGATGAACACCATAGGAAGGGTATGTGGTTAGGGCCAGCGAAATGCCAAGGTGTAATTTTGAATAGATGGGTGGATTAAGCTTGTAAAACTGCGATTTCTCTTCTTTTTTTTTTTTTTTGGGGGGGGG